AAAAAAAAAAAAAAAAAAAAAAAAAAAAAAAAAAAGACATTTTCTGAAGATAAGAACATTCTATCTGTTTTCATTAGATGTTAGCCAAAAATGTAAGCAATAGGAAAACCATTCGCAATTGAAGTTATACCGACTCAGCCTCAACGAAACTATTAGAATCTCTTGTAACTTTTCTCTGTATTTTACCTTGAAAACAATCTTTATCGGTGTTGTACTTATTTGCGACGCATAGTTAAGGAGTTATTATTTATTTATGCAAATTTAATTCTAGCCCAAAGATATCAATCCTCTTAACAATATATTTATTTACCCATGGCCGACTTTGTTGCGCTTATCTATGAATATCTAATGTTAAGCTGACACGTGTCCAGATTACTGAAGACCTTTCTTCGATAGATTTTTTTTAACCATCTGAGAATTTACTAGAACTAGTGTTTTTCGACCTTTTCGATAGTTCACTATCGTAATTATTCATTCAAATAATATTTTTGAGCTACAGGACAAAATCAAGTTTAATTACATACTTTACTGTGAACAGCTTCTAACAAGCAGCAAGACTGCCAAAAATGGGTAGCAGTAAATTCGAATAACTGTGAACTTACTATTTTTTGGAGCAGAAAGACTGAATTTAGCGCGCTTTTGTTCTTTTACTCAGTTAAAAGCAAGACCCACCCTAGTGGCCAAACTGTTAAAGACTGCTATATACTAGAAGTTCTTTTCGAAGTGTAGCTCAGGCAAACGGGCTGGCTGCATGGTTTATTTTTGTGATTTTCTCTGTGTAGTCAGATTCCCCCAAAAGTCCTTCATCAAAGCATTTCTCTTCTTAAGCAGATATCACGCTTTCCAAATTCAAATAACCAATCAGTTAAAAGCAAATCATGCTGCTTTACAAAAAATTCGCATTTAATTTTTAGTTGATTTAAATCGAACAGTATTTTGAAATGATTCAGACTGTGGCTATATATTTCATATCAATTATCTCAGAGCAACTGTTCATAATTTAATTTCTGAAATTCAGTCTCCAATTAAACTGTATTACAGAATTCATTTCGAAATGAAATTTAATCGAATGTACTAAAGTCAGCAACTTGAAATTTTATTGAAGATTTATATCAACTTTCATACTACAGAGCTATAATTATGTATAAGCAAGATTAATTTCCCAAAACAAAATGTTTTAGGACAATAATGATCTATTGCTAATGTTTCTTTCGCACTCACTTCCGGTCACGACACATGGAATTGCATCGTGACTTAACGATGAGTGCTATAGTTGTATTTTTGAATAATAATAAGTCACTCAGAATCCTGCTCAGAAACTAGTTGTACTTTAAATATTATTTTGCCCTACAAAGCTGCTGTCAATATCTATGTATCAAACTAACACGAAATTCAAAACATCATGCAAAGAAGCCTCTTTCTAAAAAAAGAAAGAAAGAAAGACAACACATTATTGAACTATTATTTCTATCGAACTACAAATTTTCATAAAGTTATATAACATTGATATGGAAACTGCACCAGTTTTGCTGTACAAGAAAATATATTAGGTATGCAATAGTTGTAAAAGTAGTTACTTTAATTTTGTGTAAATTTTATATTTCATTCATTTTGCTTCAATTATTTTATACTATTTGCGGGAGGTGGGGTTAAAAGAAAATGTTATCAATTTATGAGAAAACACTTATACCATCGCGTACATTTTCTGCAATTATACAATGAAACCTTTTGTTGCAAGCAAGCATTTTCAGATGGTCACTTCTGTAACTGATCAGTATTTCTCAGAATATATTTTTTTAACTTCTCGTGTTCCGCAAAGTATTCCACAAGTATACCGCAAAGTATACCACAAGTAAGTTATACCACTAAACAAAATAAACGAATGTACCATAGCACCGCAAATGGGTACTGGTATCTCTTTTCTAAAGCAACCACTACAACTGAAGATCAACATCATCAGGGACTGTGGATGGTCATGACTCAGTATGTTTAACAAACCGTATATCGAAGAAAGAATACCCATGCCAAATAATACATACTAAATGCAGTCCTTAGCATAATTTCATTGATCGATGAGAAAGAAGAAGATCCAAAAGCTGGATATCCCTACTCTGTGTTAAGATATTTTAATCTATTTGCATTATAACATGCAGTTCATCTTGACATGAAGTGAAAACCATCAGTATATGTAAACGGAGAGCGCGATTGAAAAGACAGAAAGAGGTCTGAAGCTTTCCGATCCATGCACATATGTCGCGAAGCTGAGTAGGAATACTAGTCATGTGATACCAAAGAAATTTTACATATAATTTAACATAACCATAAAAGTGATGCATATATAAATATGCACCTTTGCTTTCCGAGGTACAGATACATGCGGCGCTGTTTCAAACGGCAACAAGCTAGATGTCGATATAAAAAGTTAAAGTTAAAATGTCATTTCTGATTAACTTGTACAGACAGTAGGTTATTTTGAAAGACGTGAAAAATCAGCAGTGCCCTCGCCTTGACTCAAACCTGGATATCTCGAATACGCGTCGAGTGTGCTACCGTTACACCACGAAGGTATGCATAAAAGAGAGAGAAAATAGCCAAAATGTTAGTCCCGAAGTTCATATAGTTCAGATAATTTTAGGTAAATTCTAATAGGTTATTAACTTCAAAATTTATTTAGACGTTACATTTTGCATCCTATTCTGCGATGAATATCTTGTTTTTCCACATAAAAGCCTTAATGAATAATTTTCTTAAGCGTAAGACCAATATTGTGATATCCTTGTGGTGAGAATATCGAGCTGCTATGCCACCTCTATTTTGAGAACCTTGTCATTATGAAATCTCTGGTCACCAAGAAGTTATTTGAGCGATGAAAGGAGATGAGAATCCTTTGGCGCTAATCGGTCCATAGTGAATAGTTAAACCCATGAAAAATGTTGCAACATTGAAATAGCAGTGTGTATTATCATGGAAGAGGAAGATAACATCTGATGGCAGCTCGTCAATTTTCCAGTATTGCACCATACGCAGCCACATTATTTATTGCTTTCCTTTCCATGATGTCATATAATAATATATCTTTCTGATCAGAAAATAGAAGTCTTTGCTTTGTAGCTGACAGCATCAATATGAATTTACTGGCTCGCGGGATACCGGAATGATTCTGGTTTACGCTTACAAGTTTTGATAATGGAGTGATTCTGTGAACCTGTCGAGGAATGATACAGCATACGACCTTATCTTTGCTTTTGGCTCCGAGAAACAGCTCGACAGACACATCATGCACATGAATTCCAGCTGAGCAGTTATTCGGGGTAGTAATCCATGTGATAGACTTACGTCAAGTGTCAATTTTTTCAGTTACTTGCCTTTCTCTGGTATTACGCATTCTCAAGAAACATCATGATGGCCACAGATCTCGCAGTGAAGAGTATATCAAAAAGGAGTGACACGATGGCTTCCTGTTCAAAACACCACATTTTACAAGATGAACATCGAATAACTTACCCTAAGAAAAATGCCTCAATTTTCATAGTGACTACCCCCCTCCCCCCAAAAAAAGTGCCAATGATGAAACTGCATGCTGTATCACAAGAAATTTGCTGTTGAAGGAATATTTTTATTTCTGAAGCGGTATTCGAATACAAAAGGCATGGTCTTCCCTTTATTTCTGTAATTCGCCAAGTTTTCTTTGCTAGGTTATTATTTCACTTTGTATTTAATACTGAGTGCTTTAAGAAGTACATGAAGAACATAAATTTCTAGAATATCAGGTAGTATTTAGTTTTGAGAACGACGTGCTCTCCGTCGACACCGTTTGTAAATGAGAGTCCACATTTTTTTTATGAGTTCTTAATATTTATGGCATTTGATAGCAGAGACCGCTAAACTGGCAAGGTACTATCATTTTTGCAGAACTTTATTCGACCGGTTTTAGTGTCATTTTGATGGATGGATGGAAATTCATAAAGAAGTTGACGTTTCCAAGCATTCCAAGCATTTAATTCCAAGCATTCTTATATAAGAATTTTCTTGCAACTGTAATAATTATAAGTAAATAAAATCTGTAATTTTAATGTATTACATGTATGTATACGTATTCAAAATTAAAAGGATGCCCCAAAAAAGGGCAGAAAGAAAGTTTAGTTGCAGAAAGAAAGAAAAGGGCAGAAAGAAAGTTAGTTGGCCTAGGATTGAAGTTACACAGAAGATTTTCATGCACATGAAGATACTGAAAGAAAAACCATATTGAGTAACCCGATTTTTCAGACAGAATTTCAATACTTGCATTGCATAATAAAATTGCGTTGCATGATAAAAATGTTTTATTTCGTACGGTATTGCCATTGTTCGTTAAATATTTATAAAATGTGGAATAGAAACAACAACAACAACAACAACAAAAAAAAAAAGAATTCGGCCTTCCAGGTGCCCATATTCGGGTGGAAAACTATGTTATTCGAAATTGATAATTATATGTACAGTTGTTTTTTTCCCAATGCGATAAACATACGTACATTAAAGATTCTTCAGTATATAACTTCTTTAAATATAATACAAGGCTATAATATTTAGTGGTTACAATTGTGATACGCCGTTTACAGTAAGTCAACACAAAAATACCGTTTCGAAACTAATGTTTCATTCTCGACTAACGTACCTTTTGGGATAAAAAGCTGATCAGAAATGACCTTTGATCTTTACTTTTTATATCAACTTCTAGACTATTTTCAGACATATCACGTAATAATGATTTCTATGTTATAAAAAATTTAATTAACGGCAATAATTACCCCCACCCTACCAGTTATTTTCCAGCCTTTCATCCCATACGTAGGATAAAATGGCACTCTGGAAAAACGAGAATTCTTGTTCAAACCCATTTATCAAAAGACTGCATACTAAATGATTAAAAAAATTCAAACATTAATTGCAAATTTCTAAATATATTTTTAACATAAAGATGTTTAGAATATTTTAGTAGAGTGTGAAAATGTATTTACCTTAGAATTTGCTCAAAAACATCTGGCTGCAAATCAGGAAGCTTTAAAATCACTGGAGGAACTAAGTTAGGATCCATATTTTCGTTGCGCGAGAAGCGGGACCTGATCTCTTCATACTGTTCTTCAGTGCTTGCTGCTCTCAGCAAAGAAAGGAAGGTTAGTTGTGTTTTTTCTAATATAAATGAATGAGCTGGAAATCGCCACTCTTCTTGGCCCACAATGAAAGTAATATCGCTGTGATCTTCGCTATTATAAAACAGGTGACCTGGGCTTGGTGCTGATGGCTCTGGAAGAGGCTAAGAAGGAAAAATAAAGTTTTACAATTATTTTCTTATTTAGGCGAAATAAAACTCATTTAGAAAAACATATCATTAATGGCTCGGTGAAGAAAATTTATCTCTCTACAGTCGCTAAATTACTTCCTTTAAAATAATCTGGCAGTTTAGCGAAATCTATGATTCACGTGCTTTTCCTATGTGTTGTTTTCTAGGACTAAAATATTATAAGCAATACAACTATAGAATTAATGGCAACTGTTACAAACTGAGTGCCTTTGCTGCTATGCATTGCACTGATAGACATGATGCAAGCTTAATGCACTTGCTAACTAAATCAAGTACCTAACTAAATCAATTCATAATAATATATTAGAAAATATTATTCCTCCTTAACATATCGAAAGTTAAGGTTCTGAAGTTAAGAACATAATTCTTAATTGAACTTTTTTGTAAGTGTTGAATCGTATTTACCTGCGTATTAAAACTATCCAGTGGCTGACGACCATGTTCACCATGCTGCACGCGAGTAGTCACAACAGGGGCAATGGTGCAGTTTTCTTCCACTCGTAGACCTCCAGCAGTACACCTCATGGGAGGCAGTAACAGCGTAGGCCGAGTCGAAGGTGGTGTCGAGGATTTCCTCTGGGGATGTTTCGATTTCGAACTGTTTTTGCGCCGCCATGCGATTCCACTGTCGGACCGTTTTACTTTGGTAGGCAGGCACTGAAAAGAAAAATTAATAAAATGTATTTATTTTACATTTCATTTAATTAATTACACAATGTAATACAGCTGAGTTCTAAGTTATTAGAATTTTCAACAAAAAAGAAATGGGGGAACTGAATTCAGTTCTAAAGATAAGATGACCATCTGCACTAGTGGTCTCCAGACCTGTTTTTTACCGGCCTTTTTGTGTGCCTGCGTGTACATTACTTGTTGCAAATCATCTCTGTATATCTCCCAAGACCATTTCATTAATATGAAAAGAAAATGACAAAATACTTTAACTTAATGGACTGTGATTGATAGGTTACTTTCAGATTCATCTATCTACAAGCGCTTTCAAAAGAAATCCCCCCTTAAAAAAAAGCAATTTATAAATATTGAGCCAATGTTCCCCTTTCTTTTTCTTTAATCGTTTATTTGCTGATTAAATCTAACAAAAATAAATGAATTTATTGAAAAACTTTTTTGAAATCAAGACAGAAGAACCGGAATTAGAGATTCTTGATCTCTGATACATCACCTTAAAACCATGTACAAGGATAAGAATTTTTGGAATTTGGTTGAAAAGAAAAGCTCCCATCCTTAGTACAGCATACAAAATAAATTTCACTTATTTACATTTATTCTTGACTACGGATATTAAATTAAATTTAGCCCTATTTTAGTTAGTTTACGTTACCGTACAGGGTTTTTCTTATATGTTTCTTCGCACACAATATATATCACTATACTCAGATATAAATTTTAGCTCCAGGAAGATAGTACACCGATATATCATAAATCTGTTCATTAATAAAAAGTGGTTCGGGATACGAATAATTTAGGATTTGGTAGCCATTAAAATATTATTATTATCTGGTCTATTGTGAGTTGAAATGCCAGTTAGGAACATTTTCGGGCGAATAATGAAGGCAGTTACAACCAGACGAACGAGAATTGATTAATGTTGATTTATGTCAAAAGCTGCAATCAGGAAAACACATGTAATGTTTTTCGTGATTAAAGTTTTCAGGGGTTAGAGTTTGAACTCTAAAACATTTAAATATCATCATAATATGCTCACGAGAAATGCCACTTCAGAAAGTTCAACATATTGATTGAAATGAGAGAGAGAAGAAGGAGGAGGAGGAGAAGGAGGCAGTTTTCGTTATTATCTATATGCAAATGAGAAGAGATCAAGATTCCCCTTCCCCCAAAGAAAAGGTATAAATAAAAAAAAATATTTATTTTTATTGCAAAACGGATTTATTTCCCTTCCTCACAGAAATTTCTTAATAATTTAAAAGAACAGTTTGATAGACAATTATATCAAATCACACATCGTTTTAATGTTAAAATATACTGAAATTAGATTGAAATACGTATTCAAAATTAAAAGGATGCCCCCAAAATGGGCAGAAAGAAAGTTTAATTGGCAGTAAATTATAGCAGCAGATAATGCAGTTATTTAACAGATGGCAAACTTTTGTACATACGGATTACCTTTCTCAAATTACCTTTCTTGAACCATCTGCAAACTGAAACACCTACAAAATACAGCTTTAATATCTTTGCTTTGAAAATGTAGTTTTAATATTTTTCTTCGTAAGGGTTAAGGCCTTAAACATAATTTGTCTATGACAAATTAGCCTTGCGAAACGGGAAGTTCATTAAAAAACAGTTTTCTTTTTTAGCTAATTTAAGGTGAACAAAAGTATGAAAATCGATACATAATTCAGGAAACAGTAGTAATAGTAATAAATTTTACTAATCTTGCTAAGAATTCCAGGAAAGGTCCTTAAAAACCATCTCTCAAAGCATATGACAAAGTCAGGACTTACATTTCTCGCCTCTCCTTGGCAATGCATTCTGCATTTTCTTTTACCACACTTTAACAGTCATGAAAATATACATCCAGGTTTATATTTAATTGTATTTGATAATACAAAAAATGATAACCCTTATGTTACACTATTTATACTTTACTGAAACTACTCCATATAATTTACAGTCATACTTAAAGAAGAGAGATATTTATAATATCTATTCTATTAAAAGTAAATTTTTGTACGCTACTTAAAGAAATACGATATAAATACTTTGTTTGACTGATTAAATCTGCATAGGAATTTATAAGCTGGATATTAAGTTTTTATACGTTTATTTAGATCATTCTGCGTTAAATTATGTATTAACTCAATCGTACGAGATTTGTGTTCCAAGGCTAATTTGTCATTGCAGATTTCATAAACTAATCCAACTTTTTTTACAATAAAATTTTTTGTCAGAGTATTATATTGATATTCTTACGGCAACGGTTACTGGATGAGGATGATCCAAAGATTGGCAGTACATAAAAAATGTAATAGGATTTTATTTGAGAAATACAGCCTTATATAAAATAAATTTTCATATTCTTAGTGTAACTATAAAAATGTCTCTGTTAAGCAAATATAATATTAAAATATCCAAGCTAAATTTCAATTGTATATGGAGGAAAAACATTTTATGCTTTTACATCTCTTTATCAGATATTTAAAAACTCATCAATTTCTAATTGAAGACGTCATCTGTTAAGTTATTTTTTTGCATTAAATTTTACCTGATATTAAGAAAAGAAATAATAAACATTTTTCTGCTAAAACCTAAAAACCTGAAGACTGTTTGCAAAGCTGAGGACACGTTTATTAATTGAAAATAGAACTTATTATTTAGAAGTGCTCTGGAGAGTCAAATTTATATATTAAATTATAAATAATGGTAGACAGGGAAAGAAAAGTCGTACTGCTATATTTTACATATCTGCTTATATATGACACAATTTACTTCAATATTTTTTCAAATACTTGAAAAATCATTTGTTAAGCTAATATTAAATTAAAGGTTTATATTACGATAATTTTGTAAAATCCATGTAAAGAACAGGAATATAAAACAGTCAAATAAATTCACATATTAAATTAAGCAAATTAAAGAATAAGTATTTTTAAAAGGATGATTTGTAAAGCATATTTGTTTACAATTTTTCATTGTATACCTTACCTTTGCCAAAGAATACTGAATCATTAAAATAAATAGAACTCGGCATCAAACTTATTAGGTCTATGACTTGTTTTCATCGAAACAACCCAAGGATATCAATTAGCGAACTCAACATCCTTCTGAGGACGTAGAATCGCTGGACAAACGCATCAGTATCCGGTCGTCACATGCACTGACAACAGTAATTTGCAACAGAACACACTTAAATCTTGCACTTTGTGCAACCTAGATGACATTTTTACACACGAGATAGCCAGTACAAGGTTATGACAAATAGAAATGTACCGAAGTGAGACATATTTGTCAACCACCACTCTGTTTGGGCAATAAAAATATTGCAAATATGATGTACTTACTTGGCTAAGTTTATTGAACTAAAACGGTCTGCACAGTGACGGAGGTGCTATGAGATTAAGGGAGAGTTAATCTCCTTGCGTAAGTGTCTGTCTCTTTTCCCAATTTTCATACTCGACTGACTTCAGGCAGAGAAAGTGAAAACGCGATTTTCACATGATTTCCTGTTAGAGACTGCCTTTCTACAAATGACGGTTTTTTAACAGAAGATTAAGATATGGTATCAGTCGAAAATTTTAAACGGTTTTCTCCTTATCTTAAAAAAAAATTCTCGAATAATTTGGGGGTAATATTGTGCTAAAAAAAGGTATATTATTTGTACTTTCCTTCCGGTTTTGAGGATACACAAGTTTGCTTTATGTTAGCCATAAACATTCTGTTTATGCAACGAGAAGAAACATTTATATTTTATCTACAATAGTGTACAATAGTTTATCTACATTTAATATTAAACGCAGATATCCCAAATTAGTTCCTAAACAGAAACTCTACTGCAGGAAAAAAGAAAAGAACTGGAAGAATTAGCTACTTTAAAAAAGTAAATATTTTCCACTTAATTCGAATTACAAACTAATAACGTAGTATTTATTACACGGTGAAAAACTTAGCAGAGCATTGATTTGTCCCATTTGTTCACTCTTTTACAGTAAGAAAGTATAAAAGTTTTCTGATAAGGATTACTGTCATATACTTAATTTTTTAAATGAGATGATATCTATTAGCAAGCAATGAAGAATACTCATGTATATATGTACGCATGTTCCCTCGCACTGTAGAAAAATGGCAACACCTAGCGCCACTAAATTTTAAACCCGCATGGTCCTTCCATACAAACACGCGCGCTTCAAAGCCGGAATTTTAAATTTGTTTTTATTATTTGTTTATTTATTTATTTCATATTTTGTGGGAATTTAATGAGAATTTGATTAAGAATCTACTACAAACACAGATACGAGTTTTGGATAAACACCCTTATTTTCCCACACCTCATTTAAATTAACTTAATCATCTTCACACAAATCAAAAATCATTTTAAATATTAATAGCAATAATAATAAAAAAATCTGAAATGTTTCAGATTTAAACGGTAGCCTAAAAGAACTTGTCAAGGTTTATTTATAACTGGATGGCTCTAAGTACAATTGTTTTTCCACAATGCGAGAAGTATGCATACATTCATGCAGATTCTTTATTATTTAATTTCTTTAAATGTAATGCAGAGCGATAATATTTGGTGGCGACAATTTTAAACGTGATATGCGTTTATAGTGATTCAACGCAAAATGCCGTTTCGAGACTAATATCCCATTCCGGACTAACGTCCCTTGTGGGCTAGTAATATTACTTTAATTATTCACGTACGCACACTGAAAATATAAAGCATAATTAAACGTTTATGATTTTTCAAAATTAAAATTAAATAGTAACGTCTTTTTTAATGAAAACGTAATCGTTATGATCAGCAACAGAAAGCAATACTGTGGTTAATAAAGCAACAGCAATTTGAGCGAATGACGGCTATTGTTAACTTCAGAATAGATCGATTTATGTGGCGAACCAAGCATTTTTTTTTTAACATTTCTGCCTTTACGTACAATTTCAGGTGAATAATTAGGAAAAGC